GTAAAATTTCAGTTCCTAATATTGCCTGTCTCAAATTTGCATCAGAATAGAGATACTTCCCTATTTACAATGTTACCTCAGTTTTTTCACCAATTTAAAGCACTGATGATTACCTCTTCATTTGCTCTATTACATACAGCTTTGGTACTCAATTATCAGCAGGGATGGTGTGCTGTAAAAAAGAAAAAGATCATGGCGGCTGCTCTATTATGCTGTGGTAATCGGAGCTTGATTTAGCACATCAAGATACGGTAACAGCAAGCATGCCTGCTGGGTCTCAGCATCTCCTCTTCACTCTTCACTAGCGACAACATCTATGAGACTAACAACCTCCTCCTTGACGTCTTCGTCATCCTTGTCGAACACCCTGGCCAGCTCCAGGTAGGCGTCCATGCGTGGCGTTGAAAAGAGACGCAGGCTCTCCTCGCGGCCGCCTCTTGACGGGAAACGCTGGCGGCCGTGCAAAGTCTCCGATGCCAAGGCGTAGGCGCGACCTTGCTCCTTGTTGGCTTCTTCAGGTTTCGGGGGCTCCTGCAGCTCGGTCCTGAGCAGCAGGTTGGATTGTTCCATCACGCACTCGAGCGAGTTTTGGGCCACCAATAACTTGTTGCCGTCCTCATTCACCGATGGCAGCGGCATAGTCGGCTCCTCGTTGAACACCCTTGCCTGCTCCAGGTAGGTGTCCATGCGTGGCGTCGCAAAGAGACGCACGCTCTCCTCCGTATCCAGGCCTAATCTCCGCATCTCCTCTTCCCTGCTGGCGACATTAATCAAAAGAGCAGCGACCTCCTCCTCGACGTCGTCGTCCACCGACGGCAGCGGCTTCGTCGGGTCCATGTGGAACTTCTTGGCCTGCTCCAGGTATTCGTCCATGCGTTGCGTCGCGAAGAGCCTCATGGTCTCGGCGTCGTGGCCCCTTGCCGTGAAACGCTGCCGGTCATGCGAAGAGCACGAAGAGAACGCGTACATGCTGCCGCGCCAAAGGTACTCGTCGCTGGTTTGAAAGTGCTCGAGGAGCTTCTGCAGCTCGGCCCTGAGTAACGGGTTGGATTGCTCGTCCAACATGCTCTGGGCCTCCACTAGTTTGCATTGGGCAGCAAGCACATCCTCGCCGTCCGCCATGGTTATTGCCTCGTTGATCATTCTCCTTGTCCGTAGACGGGCCTCCTCCCTCTGTAACTCCGCTGTCGTATAGGACGTGTGTAAGACCTCCACGCTCGTGCGCCACACGGTTAGCATCTCATGAGGCGCAAATAACTGTTGTCTCCTAGAAGAGCTGCATTAATGAATTCCATCGTCACAATCAAATTAACAAAATCGTGCCAGTTAAAAGAGAGATGGAGGATGAGTGTTATATGAACCCCTAGTTGATTCTAATTATGTATCTCTTTGCATTGAATTGATTGGCCGGTACCTGCTGTTGTATGAGTATGTGACCCTGAGCATCTCCGTGCTGCGCTCACTGTCGACCGTGGCGAAGCGGAGGTCCACAATGACATTGCGCACTTCCCTGCTGTAGAGGTGGCCAAAGCTGACAGTCAACGAGTCACCGTTGCGCGTTTGCGGGTAGTTCCCACAGGTCACCTTCACTATGGTCGACTCATCGCCGGCGGGTGCCACCGTCAGCTCGAGGTCCTGAACCGCGACGGTAAGCAGGCCGGCAAGGCACTGGGAGAAAGCCTTGGTAAGGCCGCTACCACCAATGTCCGGAACGTGGGAGAACGTCCCTCCCATGCTGTTGGCCGCGATCGTGCTGAGTACTCTAGGGTCGCTGTGCATGCCAAAACCAAACGTGTAGATGGGCAAGTTGTTGCTGACGCCGACCTGCATAGCACCTTGCGCGTCATCCCGCGTGCCGTCGCACATGAGCATGACAGCGGCGACACGGCCACCGCTCACCTTGCGGTCAGCAAGGATCTTGAGCCCGCTCCGGAGACCATCCATGATCTTGGTGTAGTCGCCGCAGGGCTTTAGGCTGTTGATCAGCATCTGCAACTCCCGCTGCGAGGCCTTGGTGATCTGTTGCAGCGGGCAGAGCTTCGTGGCGGCGTTGGAGAATGTGACGATGGAGAGTTGGTCCATAAGGCTGAGTTTCGACACCAAAAACCGCATGGCGGTCTTCAGCTGGTTCATCTTCTTGCCGTGCATGCTGCCGCTGACGTCCACCACGACCACCAGATCCAGACCTGGCCGGTCACCGCTGAAGGCGGTGCCGGTGAGCTCCAGCATCACCTTTTTGTTATGCTCCTTTAAAGGAGCCTATCTGTTGTTCTCGATTGCCAACTGCACTTTCCCTGTATGCCGCAATTTGCAAATCAACATGGAAAATTGTCCTAAATATATGCCGCAATTGCAAATCAACAAGGGAAATTGTCCTAAATATATTGGTTCATTATTCATTTGGTAATTTCCTCGTAAATTATTGGCAAGCCATTCTTTAGATATGTTAACCGATTCAATGAACGCTAGCTTAATTGAGTTAATCAAATCAGGGTTCTACCAAGCGTCTTGCAGTTTAAGTTGATCTTCTATGTGCAGGTATGTATATGACTATAGTCTAAGCCCAATGAGTTGTGTGATCTGTAATGTACTACATATAAGTTGTGCACTCTAGTCGCTTTTATTTTATTTTTGCTTCCGTTTTTTACAATTCCTCTTTCCTAGTTTAATTGTGTGGATAAAGTATACGGTAAAAGGCACCTCTAATTGATTCCGGGCGACATCAATGATCAATGTATCAAAATCATTTTGTTGAGGTCCCATAGAAGTAAGTTCGGTAATTGTAACTAATTACCTGAGCTTGCATATTTTTTCTTGGCCTGCTTTCTTGGAAAGTTGATAGCCTACAAATAAAAATTACTGATTAATGTGTGCATACATAAAGAAGGACCTCTCCTCAACAGGAAAGTACACTATGATGTACTCCCTCCATATCAAAATATAAGATGTTTTTTGGTACTTCCTTTTTGTATAAAAAAACGTCGTACATTTTGATAGAGAGGGAGTATATTATTATGGCATATTAGTCCAACCTATAAAGCAAATTATTTGGAAAATCTTGTTTAGGCTGCCCCAGCTCTAGCTTTCTCTTTACTTCGCATTTTGGCTCTTTCAGCTGATTTATGTAAGACTTAATATGAACCTCGCCACTTTGGTTTGCTCCTGAGTAATAGAACAAGAGGAAGGTCACTCCTGTTGATCTAATAAAAAAAATGTTCTCTAGGTTTACTACCTATCCCCGCTGCTGGAATCAACTTCTTTACCGAGTGTCATGAACACTCCCACTACTGAAATCAACTTCTTCAGCATCCCGAACACTCAGTAAACACTGGTCGGTAAAGTGTTTACTGAGTGTCACAACCGCACTCAGTGAATGTGCAATCGTCAAAGACATCTTTACCGAGTGCTTATCCACGTACACTCATCAACGATATATTTTGCCGAGTGTTACGAAAACACCCGGCAAATAGGAGATAGAGGATATGAGAAGATGGAACTGAAACTTTGCCGAGTGTCAGAAACACTCGGTAAAGTTTACACGCGTCAGTCAGGTTCACTCAACTAAGACTGAACCAGCCCAGTGTAGGCACGTGTCCTGTTACCGAGTGTCCGGCCGTTGATATTCAGTACATAATGGTCAGTGAACTGTGGTAGTGTTACCCGTTACCGCCACATCATGCCCACTTCCTCTCTATCCCTTACCCTAGCCAACTCATTCCCTTGCAGAGCATGACTAACCCGAACATCTTACACAATCACATGCAAAATATGGAAGCGATCAATGGAACTCCCTTTCGGAGCTAAATGTGGCAAAGCAAGCTGGACACCGCAGAAGGTCCTAAGAAAAGGAGAGAAAATCCATATGAAACCATATGTTACAATATTTTACTATCTATAAAGGATAAACACTAAAGTTAAAACGGGTACGGTTAGCATATACCTGATTTAATAAAGGGACTATTAAACATTATTTTTATTTTAGCAGTAAAGCGAGAGTGTGAAGTGTACCAAATTTATGTCGGCATAAAATGGTCCATTCTATCATGAGTATTGATTATCCCTGCTCTCTCTATATATAGAAATACACATGCACGTTCCGTTCGCAACCCAAAGAAAACATGGTAAAAAAGCAGTTATGCTACTCCCTCCGTTCCTAAATATAAGTCATTTTAATGATTTCAATATGAACTACATACTGTGTAAAATGAGTGAATCTACACTCTAGAATATGTCTATATACATCCGTATGTAGCCCGTAGTGAAATCTCTAAAAAATACTTATATTTAGAAATGAAGGAGTATTAGTAATCACACCTTGTACATCGATGACCCTCTGTCGTTCATCAGCGCACCAAGTAATTTCACTGCAGTCTCCGTCTCATTCAGCCTAGCAATGACTACCCCTATGCTAGGCCTCTTGTGTCGATCTACATCCACACAGCTTACAGCTATTTCGAGGCAACTCTTTACTTGTTTACAATATAGCTCCAACATGTAAACCGATGTTGTTTGTAGCTTATTCTTCCATTTCACATGTTCCTACAAGGGTGAAACATAAATAAACATGTAATGCATAAAAAGTATGTATAGGTATACATTAATAATGAAATATGTACACAATTGATCTCAATAAAGGCACCAATTTCTCTTACAAGCTCTACGAATTGTTGTGGAGACATTTCAGCACTTCGAAAGTACCCATCTGGTCCTGTCATTATCTTTATAATTACCATCCCCAAACTATATATATCAAACTTAATAGAAATTACACCCGCGTCAATAAATTCCGGTGGTATGAAACCACTGCATGACAAAATGACATATCACATATGTTACTGATACCATGGGTCAAATGTAAATAGTGTTCCTATAAATACGTTTAACATCGATGATTAAGCTTACATTGTTCCTATACGAGTGTTTGTCATTTGTGTTTGTTCTCCTCCAAAGAGCCTTGACAAGCCAAAATCTGCGATTTTGGGCACCATATTTTCATCCAGCAATATATTGGCTGGTTTTAAATCCAAATGATACATAGGAGGATTCAATTCCTCCTGAAGGTGTTTTAAACCCTGGCAAATCCCCTTAATTATTGCAAAGCGTGTGCGCCAATCATGTCCACTAGATTCATCTGCATCAACAAACAAATGGCCATATCAGTAAGTATATGTTCTGATTACTCAAGGTGGTGCATAATAATATGAGAGAAGCATGCACCATACCAGCAAGAAACCTGTCAAGGCTTCCATGTTCCATATACTTGAAGCAAAGGGCTCTCTTTATCGTTTCTATAAAAAGCGATCTTCCTTCAAAATGTCTGAATTCTCCAAAAGTTTCATGGCTATAGCCAACTAACCGCACAATGTTTTTATGTTGTACAGTTGCGAGGTTCTGGTACTCCTTCTCAAATTCTTTATTACCAAGTCGTGAAATGGGATGAAGTACCTTCACAGCAATCATTTGCCCATTTTTCTGCTCTCCCTATCCAACATATCAACGCATAGATTAATGTTCTGCTTTGCGGCAACATATGTAACATACTTAAGCAGAAAATTTGTGCATATATCTATATACTGTTTTTCATCACAAAATGGAGTAGCAGTGTAAGATTAAGTATGCAGGGTTGCAAGCTAGTCATTAACAAGATAACAGAGAACATAATATTTGTGGCTTCTGAACTTGAGGAACTTAAATCAGGTCCCCGATGGTTTCTTGTCTCTACTCCTAATGGAGCACTTGGTGAATAGTCCGCGCGGTTTATTTTCGCTGGTTTATTTTTGTCATACTTCCACCACCGTTTTTTTTGTCATCCTACCACCTCTGCACTACCCTCCATCGAAATAAACCGGTGCAAAAGAAAACCCTGGGATCGATCCCTCGTTCACACAGCTGATAGATCTACGCCGCCGCCCGACACAGCAGATCGATCTGCGCCGCCGCCCGATCGCACGCCCAGTCCGCGGCGGATCCATCCCTGTGCCACGCCGCGGCAGGTCCATCCTGTACCTTCGCCGTCGCACTTGCAGGAGGCGGCGGTCTGCTATTGGATCGGGCGAGGACACGGGGCAGCGATCCCGCGTGTCATGTTCGCCGGCGATGAGATCCGGGAGACGCCATCGCCGCTGTTTGAGGAGAGACGTCGCCGCCGTACGAGGGGAGACGTCGCCGCCACACCTCCTTTGCTCACGCCCCCATCTCCTCAGCCGGGAGGCCCCTGCCTCCCTCTCCTCCTGCGAGGCAACATCTGGCCTCGTGTGGATGGTGCTCTCGGGAGCGGGGGACACGAGTGCGGTGCAGTCAATGGCCAGGTGCGATGCGAGCAGCAGTCGGCGGCGGACGGGGCCAAGGGGCCAACGCTCAACGACGGGTAACTGACTAATACCCATACTTTTGCGCCCATGTTTCAGTGTCCACCCATGTAATGATCTATGGACATTCTTTGGTCATCTTTCACATTTTGTTGCACATGTAGGATTTGAAGAATTAAGATGGCTATTATGCGATAATAATTTACTGCATAGGTGGGATCAAAATCAAAATATTGAGAGAAACAGGATTTGTGTGTTGCAACCTGTAATAGCTCATAATAACGTGTGCTTATTCTGACTGCTTTTGGATCACTTATTACTCTATATATGCCCCAAAATTATCTATCAATCATTTTACTCTGTATCTTTCTGTCAAGGTAGAGGACCTTGGCTTTTTTTTATTTGAAAAAAAAGTAGAGGACCTTGGCAATCTGATCAAGCTTTACGCCAATCGCATGCTCTTGATCACTTATTACTTTTTCAAACAGTTATGTGTAGAAGGCTGAGAAAGTTGGGACCAGAAACTTTGCTAGGATATGCCTTGGTTGGCGTCTCCGTTCCCTAGGTGACCCTGTCTTCGTGTGTTCACTTGGTCAAGAAGTTCGTCGCTGCCGCCGAGGAACAGAACATGTCGGTTAACTGGAGTCTCAGCTGTCGGCACCTGGCTTGCTTGCTACTAATAAATTTGGCTTGAATAGAATGTGTTAATTTTCTCCTTCTGCAGTAGCTTCTTGCAACCGTGGACAGTACATTGTTGCCTCGTCCAGATGTTGTGGTGCCGCTGCCACACTGCTGGCTCGTTTCGGTTCCCCTATTGCATCGCCTGATGCATCGGAGGAGGAGATGAAATAATGGTTGTTCTCCACGAGAAACTATGCTCATAATGTTTCCTATAGATATCCACTTGTGCAAGTACTAAGTATTACAGCAAGGAGGAATCAAGTGGCTGGCAGTAGACCGTCACCAGAAGTATGCAAGAATCACCGTCGCATCTGGACCAGCCTCCTTTCTTTTAATGCATGATAGGTAAGCAGAGGCATACACACGTTCGTATGAATATCAGCAAACAGAGTTTAGAGCATTGCCTTATTCATATGAATTTCAGACTACCATCTTGTTACGAGTTTCAGCAAAAAGAGTTTAGATCATTTCAGCAAAAAAAGTTTAGATCATTTCAGACTGCCATAAAATTTCGCAGCCAATAAAATGACTTCACATTTGTCATTTAGAACAACAGAAGCCAAGCTGCAAGGAAATATAAGCCTACTAGCGTTTATGATGTCTGCATGTTTAAAAGATGATTCAACTCACAATATGGAGTGCATTTCTAAAACGATAGTATGTTGGGCATAAAAGAAGGTTGTTTCTTGCTATTTGATTGTAAACCCTCCGTTCCTAAATATAAGAGGTATTTGCACCTGTTAGTCATGTATTGTTTATCTGTGGAACTGTTGGTCAGGTAATGTTATAATACATCTCTTTTCTTACAAGTGGTATCTGGAACCGTCAGTCTCAGCCATGCCATGGTGTCTTATAGGTATTTTCAGATCATTGATGTCTGGTTTCCGTTCTGATCTGAACATATAGTTGAGCAGGGACTTTATGATTTTGGCCCAGATTCTGTTTGATGAGTAAACTACTATTATTAGTTCCCACAAAAAACCAATGATCATTAGCTCAAAGTTTAATTTTATTTTCATTTGAGAGCACCGACAGTTAGTTTTCACCACCTCTGCGTCCACCTGCCCAACAATTAGTACCCTGTTAACTTGAGGGATGGCGTCTCACATCTGTTATCATATATAAATGTTGTTGGTTAAGATGGCCATGTTATGCAGGGTGAAGCAAGGTTTTGGATCCCAAATAGGCAAATTTTCTTGTGGGTGGGCGATATTCCCGGTAACCACGGTTACCGAGAAATACCGAACAAATTTCGGATGAAATTTACAATTGAATTTTGAATTCAAACAATTTTAACTTAGATATAATAATACCTTGAACTGATGCAAGTCAGAAAAGAGGTACTAGCTCAGTGGTACCTGAACTACGCGCGCAATTAGCTGTGTTGACGTCGCGAGTTGGATTCTCTGGACTGTCATTTTTTTACTGCCTATTCTGAAAAATAACAAAAAGAACAGAAAAAAGTGCAGGAGGAGGACTCGAACCAGCTACCTCTTGAGGCGCGCATAACAGATGGTTACCACTACGCCAGAGTAAAGGCGTTGTCTGTAATGAGAACCAAAGGTAATTTATTAGATCTGTAGCGTTCAAATTCAAATTATTCAAAAATTTCGGTATTTTTTGCTCGGGATAGGTGTTTCTCATGGGGCGGCGAGAAAAGCGGTAACTGCCCGGTATCCGTTTTTCTCGGGCGGTACCCAAAACCATGGGGTGAAGCATGATGAGAAGAAAACACCGATGGATCCAGATGGGGAGTCGAGAGGCATGGAGAGGTGATGAGAAGGACAACATCTTAGTTACTTATCAGAACAGAGTTCATATAGCAAAGGATGTACTAGCAAGGATGTGCTTCAAGGTGATATTTGTCACAACGGTCATAGGTCGCATCTGAAATACATGTTGTTTGATCATTGTTTTTAATGTTAAGCTTCGTGTTTCATGGCAATGCATGGCCATCCACCTATTACTATAAGAGGGCTATACAAATTATTCCCAAGTTTGTTGTAAGTGGTGGTTTATCATATGGTCTAGGTTTTAAGTGATCAGGTTCTTTCCCTATATCCAACGGGAAAACTTAGGGCCTTATTGTGGTTACTTCGGATATTTCCTTATTTGCTGTACTCATGGATGAAATACAAGATTATTTTTAGCTATCCAACAACGGAGATGCATAGAGCCTGTTGGATACATTTTCATGCCCGCCACGGTTTGCCTCATGCAAGTGGAGGCACCATAGCCCTCGCTGGTTGTGTGAGGAGACACCGATGGATCTATGGTGGTAGGGGGTAATGGCAGGAGGAGAAAACACAGAAGTATTTGGAGCAGACTAAACACATAGGAGGATTTTGGAGTAGGGTGACGACATAGCGGGACGGTGACGCAATGACCAAAGAGCTTAAGCGCTAGGGCTCGTCAAATAAGAAATGGATGACAATGATGCAACATTGTTGTGTGATTGTTGTATGTATATTTAAGGTGCATAAGAAGTCTTAGGGAGGTGAAGTTATGGAGACACATCTTTGATGGAGATTAAAGAAGAGCCCATGTGGAGGCTGGAAGCAAACATAACATTATTCATAATCAACTTCTGAATAAACACATGGTGGAAAGAATGTTTACATATCCATATGTGGCCCGGACAGAGAAGGCGATGGACAAAAGGTTGGATGAAAAAGAGCGGCTAAAGGTGTGTGTGGTGTTTGTCGAAATAGAGAGAAGAACGTGTACTTGTGTTTGTGGCATGGTTGAACATTCTGTGTAATGTGCTTTTTCGTATCAAGGAAAATGAGCATTGTTTACACATTCATTTTTGACCCGTGGCAACGCACGGGCAGTCTACTAGTTCTACTAGCTCATGTAAATGAGGTGATGGGTAAGAACGATAAGGAAGCTGCCGACATGGAGGTTTTTGTTTCGGGCAAAAAGCCCCGTTACCTATTTACGGTGGAACCAAAAACGTCACGCACGTTTGGTGGAACCTCATAAACGGTTCCAGGCTTGCTGTCGGTCGACACCACCCACGCCCCCCCGTAAACTGTTGCGTTAGCGCACGATCCCCTCCCCCTCGACCAGTGCCGCCGCTTTCCTGATCGTCTTCGAGTCCGGCTCCGGCTCCTCCCCGCCCGATCTCATCTCGGGCTCCTCTGCTCTCCCGTCACCATGGTCGAGCCACCTCTGCCCGTCTCCCATGATCGTCGAGTAAACGCCCGGACGTGTGCCTCCTCCTCCTCCTCCTCTTTGGTCGCGGCCCCATCGCCTGGTATCCATCGCTGTCGCCCCAACTCGTCCTCGTCGCCGGACAGTTCACCTCAAGGTACGAATTTCCATTATATAGACGAACCAAACAAGATTTGATTTTCTCAATACGGAGTTGTTACACCCTGTAACTTGATTCCCTTTACGTTAGCATTACCGCTCCTCAAAACAAACACCTCCCGAATCACCTGGGGTGGCTTGGCAAATGTAAATGCCGACATCAGATGTGACAACCGTCGAGGATATTTGAGAATTGGAGTTGTTATTTAGATATGTGGAGAGGGGTGTTTCTTAGGGCAGAGACATGTCTGTATAGTTGTGCTAGTGCGGAACATGGTGAAATATTGGCATGTTTGAAAAATGAAAAATCATGGATTTACCGGTTTAGGGAATGATATCGAGTGGCAATCAGTGTTGGTATCAGACTGTTCATGTGGTGGTGCAAGGTCTAATTTCTGGTGAAGCGTGTCAGTAAGCTATGTGAAGGATGGTAAAGGAGAAAAACTGAGGCATTTGTAAAACTTATTACAGAATTTCAGGTGAGCAACCAGGTGGTTCATTGTCTGTACTCTGTGGATAAGTATGACTTATTTAGTGGTGTGTTACATAAACAGACGGTCCCAAAGCATTTCCTAAGTAACAAAGCTAACCCATCACTGAGAAAACTTGAGCGTGTGTGGTTATTTATGTCTGAACACAATGTGTCTTTATGTGTTACGTCTTTGATTCTTTTGGCATGCTCCTGAATTTAACTATAATTAAGCACGAGGTTGTGCTACAATGAATAATTGACCTGAAATAATAGTGCAGAGAATAACTGCTTATTCACCATACAACGTTTGGTGTGAATGTAGATTCACAAATCTATCATCATGCACGATGTAAATATATCCGAATTTGTAGCTAGAAACCATACACGGGTCTTTAACTGTACCTTATAAACTTCTCCGAATGATCCCTCGCCAACTTTCATGTCCGTAGAGAAATCATTTGTGATTTCTTTTAAAAGCTGGAACGGCAGCAGCCTTGGCTCTGCACATACGTCATCCATGATATTGCTTTCTCCGAGAGAACAATGAACACAAGCCCGTTACCTGAAATAAATTATATGTCTACATTTTACAGGTGGAATAATATATTGAGATTAATGACTAATTTAACTGCTTCTCTTCTTGTTGACCTCTGGCAATAGGCCAATCGATCTTGCAAACATATGACATGAAGGCTCAACAACAATGGAAGCAAGGAAGTGAATACCTACTTCAGACTTGGCCCTGTATGCAAATCCACCTCTAACTGAATACTGGTATGCACATGCAAAGTATGTGCTGTAAGAGCAATGTAGTAATCAGAAGTTAGAGCTGAACATAGTAGTAAATTGTAAAGCAAATTCAACATTACAAGTACAGCGGAATTAAATAAAATGACTTCATAACATGTTCAGGAAAGTTAGATTGCAATACATCTTTGTATAGAACTTAGAGAAGAATTATTTAAGTTGTAATCTGAACCAACACTATAGCTTCCACATACCTGTTACCAAATGGATCCAGCGTGCGCTCAGCTCAGGGAAGACATGAGTGGAACTCTTGTATATATGCAATGATGTCTTGCTTCTTTCTATATATATTAGTGATTTGTTAGCTTGGTAAGACTTGGCAAAGTCTACACGTATGGCTACGAGCTGCACGATTCCCTTGATGAGCTGTACTCTGACAACTGACAGCTAGGTTTTGGCTAACGACAAACCTATCCACCAGTCGACTGGTGGTTTGCGACAGGCAGGCACAATCGCTTTTTTTTCCTTCGATCTTTCTTTTCTTCTCTGGCGCGTAAAAAGAGCTTTGGAAAAATAGTGCCACTGCTAGGATTCGAACACACGACCTATCAGTTGCCGCCACGATGCATTACCAACTAAGCTAACCACCTATTTTTGTTTCATTTGTGGGTTAATTTGTATTTCTACCTTAGTAAATGAGAACGAGAAAAGAAAGACCACAACACCTTTGATGAAGAGACAAAACCATTTGCTCCAAGTTTTTTAAAAGGCCGATGCAACGTGTTTTGTACTCCACTTGTCTCTTTTTTGTAGTGATGAATGTTTTCTAGAGAAATAAATGTTTCACTCCTATAGAATTCAAACATCGGTCTTTTTCTCATTTGTGATATCTCGGTAAATTATTTTGTAATGAGATTAACAATTATATGTACCAAAACCTGATAGCTTATGTACAAATATCGTCATAGCTTTTTTTACAAAAAAAAATACTAATGTAAACATACACTCGATAACTTTTTTGTATGAATAGTATGGTAACTCACACATCACATATCTGATAACTTATGCACCAGGGCCCTGGTACCTTC